TTTTAAGTGCTTTTTTGTTTAATTTTATTATTTTTTTTTTGAGACTGGATCTTGCTCTGTTGCCCAGACTGGAGTGCAGTGGTGTCATCGGCTCACTGCAACCTCCGCCTCCTGCATTCGAGCAATTCTCCTGCCTCAAATCTCCCAAGTAGCTGGGATTACAGGTGCCTGCCACTAAGCCCGGCTAATTTTTGTATTTTTAGTAAAGACAGGGTTTCACTATGTTGGCCAGGTCGGTCTCAAACTCCTGACCTCAGGCTATCCACCTGCCTCGGCCTCCCAAAGTGCTGGGATTACAGGTGTGAGCCACCATGCCCGGCCCTAAGTGCTTTAATTCATTAATGATTCTTTTAATTCTCACAACCCTGTGAGGCAGGTGCTATTATAATTATCCCCATTTTACAAACAGAGAAACTATAGTCATTTAACTTGCCAGGGAAGATGCACAGTCACACTAACCGGTCTCATTTCAAATTAATGGCAACAGACCTCTAGTGGGCACTGAGCGAAGAGCAGCACAACTGCCACATACCTTGGTGGGTCTAATTTTCTTTCTTTTGTTGTTTTTTTTTTTGAGACAGGGTCTCGCTCCATCACCTAGGGTGGGGAATAGGGCACAATCATAGCTCACTGCACTGTAGCCTTGAACTTCTGGGTTCAAGCAATCCTTCTGCCTCAGCCTCCCAAGGAACTGGGAGTACAGGCACACACCATCATACCCAACCATTTTTTAAATGCTTTGTAGAGATAGGATCTTGCTGTATTACCCAGGCTGCTGTTGAGCTCCTGACCCGAGGTGATCCTCCTGCTTTAGCCTTTCAAAGTGCTGGGACTACAGGCATGAGCCACTGTGCCCGGCCCTGATTTTCTATTCTCTAGGACAGATCATTTCATATTTTCTCTCTCTGCACAGACCCTCTTCCTTTGGCTGAAAATCTCTCTTTATGCTTCACTGAGAATTCAGAAGCCAAGAGACAGAAACACTCAAATCTGGGCCAGGCACACTCATGCCTGTAATCTTAGCACGTTGGGAGGATGAGGTGGGAGGATTGTTTGAGGCCCGGAGTTTGAGATTAGTCTGGGCAACATCGCAAGACTCCGTCTCTAAAAATAAAATTTAAAACCTAGCTGGGTATGGTGGCACACACCTGTGATCCCAGCTACTCAGGAGGCTGAGGCAGGAGGATTGCTTAAGCCCAGGAAGTTGAGGCTGAAGTGAGTTGTGATCACACCACTGCATTCCTGTCTGGGAAATGGAGAGAGACCCTGTCTCAGAACAAAAACCACTCAGATCTTCCAACTGCCAAACAGCAGCTTCTGAATGCTCCTCCACCTTTCCTTCTATTGCAAGGAAGGATTCTGTGCCTATCAAAGTCAAGTCCTTTAACGTGCTCTAGCTCCTGTCTTTGCCCAGCCACTCAGGGGTTTTGTTATTCCCCCTCTCTCCTATAGCATCAATCCCTCCCTCTCTACAGAACTATTCCTGATGTCAGAGAAGCACCCCATAAACCCTTCTTTGGCATCGCTTCCCTTCCGATCACCGATCCATTTCTTGGCTCCCTTTCACAGCAAAACTTTCCCAAAGAATTGTCTAGGCCGGGCACGGTGGCTCACACCTGTACTTCCAGCACTTTGGGAGGCCGAGGCAGGTGGATCACAAGGTCAGGAGTTCGAGACAAGCCTGGCCAAGAGTGAAACCCCATCTCTACTAAAAATACAAAACATTACCTGGGCGTAGTGGTGTGCACTTGTAACCCCAGCTACTCAGGAGGCTGAGGCAGGAGAATCGCTTGAACCCGGGAGGCAGAGGTTCAGTGAGCTGAGATCATGCCATTGTACTCCCACCCAGGCAACAGCACAAGACTCCATCTCAAAAGAAAAAAAAAGATTGGCTATACTTTTCTTCCACCCATCCTGATCAGATTCTGCCTCCATCACTTCCCTGAAAGTGCTCTTGTCAAGGTCACTAATGTCTCTTGGGTCATTCTCTAAATTCGCCTCACTCTATCTCTCAGCAGCATGAATCAGTCTCCACCTCCCTGCGCTGGAGCATTCAGGCACTCAAGGCTCTGCTGGGGCCTTCTCCTCCTCCATCAGCATTCTTTCTTTCTTTTTTTTTTTTTTTTGAGATGGAGTTTCACTCTTGTTACCCAGGCTGGAGTGCAGTGGCACGATCCTGGCTCACCGCAACCTCCGTCTCCTTGGTCCAAGTAATTCTCCTGCCTCAGCCTCCAGAGTAGCTGGGATTACAGGCGCCTGCCACCACGCCCGGCTGATTTTTTGTATTTTTAGTAGAGATGGGGTTTCATCATGTTGGTCAGGCTAGTCTTGAACTCCTGACCTCAGGTGATCCACCCGCCTCAGCCTCCCAAAGTGTTGGGATTACAGGCGTGAGCCACCACGCCCAGCCCCAGCTCATTTTTATATTTTTAGGAGAAACAGGGTTTTACCATGTTGGCCAGGCTGGTCTCAAACTCCTGATCTCAGGTGATCCACCTGCCTCAGCCTCCCAAAATGTTGCGATTACAGGCATGAGTCACCATGCCTGGCCCCGGATTTCACTCTTGCCCACCCATAAACCATTCACTCTTCTGTTTTAAAACTCTCGGCCAGACGTGGTGGCTCATGCCTATAATCCCAGCACTTTGGGAGGCTGAGGTGGGCGGATCACAAGGTCAGGAGCTCAGACCAGCCTGGCCAATACAGTGAAATCCCATCTCTACTAAAAAAATACAAAACAATTAGCCAGGCGTGGTGGCACACGCCTGTAATCCCAGCTACTCGGGAGGCTGAGGCAGGAGAATTGCTTGAACCTGGGAGGCGGAGGTTGTGGTAAGCTGAGATCGTGCCACTGCACTCCAGCATGGCCAACAGAGCGAGACTGTCAAAAAAAAAAAAAAAAAACTCTCTCATGGCCCAGCACGGTGGCTCACCCCTGTAATCCTAGCACTTTGGAAGGCCGAGGTGGGTGGATCACCTGAAGTCAGGAGTTCAAGACCAGCCATGCTAATATGGCAAAACCTGTCTCTACTAAAAATACAAAAAGGCGCAGTGGCTCACGCCTGTTTCCCAGCACTTTGGGAGGCCAAGACCAGCGGATCAAAGGTCAGGAGTTCGAGACTAGCCTGGCCAATACGGTAAAACCCCATCTGTGTTAAAAAAAAATACAAAAATTAGCTGGGCCGTGGTGGTGGGCGCCTGTAATCCCAGCTACTTGGGAGGCTGAGGCAGGAGAATCACCTGTATCCAGGAGGCAGAGGTTGCAGTGAGCCAAGATCGCGCCACTGTATTCCAGCCTGTGCAACAAGAGGAAGACTCATCTCAAAAAAAAAAAACAAAAAACCCTCTCTCACGACTTCCCAAATAAACTCCAAATGCCTCACCCATAAGACCCAACACAACATGGCTGCTCTTCTCTGTCCTCGCCCCTCTATCTCCCTCACTTGCCTCAGTCTGGCCATACTAGCATTCTGGGTTTTTTATTTTGTGTTTGTTTCTTTTGAGATGGAGTCTCACTCTGTCGCCCAGGATGGAGTGCAGTGGCGTCATCTCGGCTCACTGCAACCTCCACCTCTCGGGTTCAAGTGATTCTCCTGCCTCAGTCTCTCAAGTAGCTGGGATTATAGGCACCCATCATCACATCCAGCTAATTTTTGTATTTTTGTAGAGACGGGGTTTTGCCACGTTGGCCAGCCTGGTCTCGAACTCCTGACCTCAGGTGATCTGCCTGCCTCAGCCTCCCAAAGTGCCGGGATTACAGGTGTGACCCACCGAGCCCAGTCTGTTTTGTTGTTTTTGAGATGGAGTCTCACTCTGTCACCCAGGCTGAAGTGGTACAATCTTGTCTGACTGCAGCCTCCACCTCCCGAGTTTAAGAGATTCTCCTGCCTCAGCCACACGAGTAGCTGGAATTGCAGGTGTGTGCCACCACATGCAGCTAATTTTTGTATTTTTAGTAGAGATGGGGTTTCGCCATATTGGCCAGGCTGGTCTCGAACTCCTGGCCTCAAGTGATCTGCCCACCTCGGCCTCCCAAGTAGCTGGGATTACAGGTGTGAGCCACCGTGCCGGGCCTTTCTGGTCTTTTAACACACAAAGCTATTTCCCAGTTCTGGGTGTTTATACTATCATTGCCAGTTTCTGGAAAGCTCTTTCCGGAAGTGTTCACGTGACTGACCCCTTATCCTCCTTCAGGTCTTAGTTCAAATGCCTCCTTTTCAGAGAGCTCCTTCCTGACCATTTTATGCAATGTGCTTTCCTCTAGTTAGTCTCTCTTCATTCTGTGTATTTCCTTCAGAGCATTTATTATCATCTTGGTCCTGATGCCTGCTGGTTTACGTATTTGTTGTCTATCTCCCACAGAGAAAGCAAACCAGCCTTTCATGTCTTGTCCACCACTTTATCCCAGCACGGTGACTAACATGTATCAGTAGTCAATCAATAAATATCTATAGGCCGGGCACGGTGACTCACGCCTGTAATCCCCACACTTTGGGAGGCCAAGGTGGGCGGATCATCTGAGGTCAGGAATTTGATATCAGCCTGCCCAACATGGCGAAACCCCATCTCTACTAAAACTACAAAAATGAGTCGAGTGTGATGGCATGCACCTGAAGTACCAGCTACTCCGGGGACTGAGGCAGGAGAATCGCTTGAACCCAGAAGGCAGAGGTTGCAGTGAGCTGAGATCGCACTACGGCACTCCAGCCTGGGTTTCAGAGCAAGACCCTGTCTCAAAAAAATAATAAATATAAATACATATATACTGCCACAAGAAATTCACTACTTTTTAGCGAAAAACACAGATTCCTAATTAAAGAAAGGGGAAACGTCTCTCTAAATAACTTCAGAATTCAGGGCAGAAAACGCTACATGTGGAAACATCTTGAAAAACAGTCCCGTTTGTGAACAGGAAGCACTTGGACTACACTTTCTCCAACTCCATGAAGGACTTAAATGTGCAGCACTGATGAAGGGGCAGAGTTAGCCCCAGTCCTTACCATTTCTGCATATTCCACCTGCTCCCCCTCGTGGTACAGCTCTGGGGGCAGGTTATAAATTCGCAAGATGTTATCAGCACTATTGGTCAAGATGCAGGAACCGTCAGGAGCCCTAGAAACAGGAAAGAGTTAGAAAGCTGGCCAGACCTATGCTTTTCAAGTGTAGGTCTAGGGCTGAGCCTACCTCTGGGGTAGGTAAGCCCCCCTGAATCCTTGAGGGAAGGAGAAGACACACACTGCTAGATAAAATGTAAGTTCAGTCTAAAAGGGCTACGTGCTCCTTCTCCCAGCTCTGGGGCATCCCTCTCCTAGATAACCGGACTGTTTTACGGTGAAAATCTCGGGGGTGGTCAGCTCCCTGCCCCGTTGTTATCCTTACCACTTACAGCCTTTCAAGAAGTTCTCAGGCTGGGTGCTAAACTCTGACCAGGAACCACTGAGAAATCGAGGCAGCTGGGAGAAGCTGTAGTTCCAAGCACTGAAAGGAAGATGGGGGACAACAAACCTGGGTCGCCAAGCAAAGGAGGCAGGGGCCTAGAGAAGTGGTTCTGAGGACCAGAGGACAGGTCGACCTCACAGTTCATCTCCCCAGACTCCACACTCCACTGCCATCACCACTTACGTGTCTCCCTCGTCCTCTGCAGCGGGTTCCCCAGAGGCATCTTCCATGGCTTCTTCAGACCCCAACTCTGGCCTGTTCGCTTCTTCTTCAGAAAGGCTCCCGTTTGCTTCTTCTGCAGGAAGTCTCGTATTTTCAGAAAGTTCTTGCTCCTCGATTTGAGGACTCAACTCACTAGGAGCACCAAACTCTGTTTCCAGGGGAGTGGAGAGAGAAACTGGGTCCCCCTTCCCTAGCTCCTGGGACACAGCTGAGCCAGTCACAGGATCTGGGGACAACCGGGGCGGATCCTCCCTTTCGAGAGGCGGTGGCATCAGTTCAGGGTCCGCATTTTTATCCATCGGAGAAGCGTGGGGAGAAGGATGGGCCGGAGCTGGATCCTGGTCTGAGGGACAGCAGTCCGGAGCTAACGGTTGAGTCTCCAAAGTTTTCATACTGCAGAGGAAGCACAGCGGACATTAGCCTCAGCCAGGACGGCTTCGAAGTTCTCAGGGATCCGATGCAGAGCTAATGAAACCCACCTGTGCTTCCTTCCTCTTCTGGGAGGAGGTAGAAGACTCCCGGGAGGCGAGGCGAACAGCGGACGCCAATTTTGAAAGCACTGCGTTTCTTAGCACCGCAGGTCGCTACGAGCCTCTTGCTGTCGCGGGATTTGGGCCCACCTTCCGATTGGGCCGCTGCATCCCGGATCAGATTTCGCGGGCGACCCACGGAACCCGCGGAGCCGGGACGTGAAAGGTTATAAGGTTTCCCGTTCCCATCAAGCCCTAGGGCTTCTCGTGGCTGCTGGGAGTTGTAGTCTAAACGCTTCTATCTTGGGGAGAAGCGCCTGCGCTCCCCCTACCGAGTCCCGCGGTAATTCTTAAAGCACCTGCACCATCCCCCGCCGCCTGCAGAGGGCGCTGCAGGTCTTGCACCTCTTTTCATCGCGTTCTCCAGGCTCCAGACCTTTCTCTCTTCCTTCATTCAAAAAGTATTTATTATCGAGCTCTTACTTGCTACCCAGGACTGATATAGGCACTGAGGAATACAACAATAAATAAGATAGTAGAAAAATTCTATATCCTCATAAAGCTTACGTTTCCATGTACTGAAAGCAATTAACAAATATTTTCAGAGTGATAAGTATTGTGAAGATTAAACAAGATGGTGTGATACAAAGTATGTGGGAGAAACGTTAGCGTGAGATATTAAGGAAAGCCTTCCTAAAAAATGACATTTTAGCTGTTGAGAAGAAAGGATCCAGCTGAGAGCAAACGCAAAAACTTTCTTCCTTCCACCCTTCATATTTGACACAGCGCAGGATTCCTCCAAAATGGTTTCCACCAATTCTGCCCTCACAGCTCTGGCTTGTAGAATTTTCCACCCCAAAATGTTAGTATCTACGGCACCAGTTCGGCGAGAATCCTCTCTCTGCACCCTCCTCCCCAATTCCATTTCCTTTGCTTCCTCCGGCGGGCGGATTACTTGCCCTTACTTGTCATGGCGACTGTCCAGCTTTGTGCCAGGAGCCTCGCAGAGGTTGATGGGATTGGGGTTTTCCCCTCCCATGTGCTCGACTGGCGCTAAAAGTTTTGAGCTTCTCAAAAGTCTAGAGCCACCATCCAGGCAGCAGGTAGCTGCGGGGCTCCGGGGACACTTGGCGTCCGGGCTGGGAGCGTGCTTTCCAAGACGGTGACACGCTTCCCTGAGGATTGGGTAAGCTCCTGACTGAACTTGATGAGTCCTCTCTGAGTCACGGGCTATCGGCTCCGTGCATTTTCAGCTCGGGAGAATCGCTGGGGCTGGGGGTGGGGCAGTGGGGACTTAGCGAGTTTGGGGGTGAGTGGGATGGAAGCTTGGCTAGAGGGATCAACATAGGAGTTGCATTGTTGGGAGACCTGGGTGTAGATGGTGGGGATGTTAGGACCATCCGAACTCAAAGTTGAACGCCTAGGCAGAGAAGTGGAGCTTTGGGGAACCTTGAGCCGGCCTAAAGGGTACTCCTTTGCACATCTACCCGGTGCTAGGCGTAGGGAATCCCTGAAATAAAAGATGCACAAAGCATTGAGATCTGAGACTTTTGGATCTCGAAACATTGAGAACTCATGGCTGTATATTTTAGAGCCCATGGCATTCTAGTGAAACCTCGGGCTCCATTCCGAAATGATCATTTGGAGGTGATCCGGGGAGCCCAAGCTGCTAAGGTCCCACAACTTCCGGACCTTTGTCCTTCCTGCAGCGATCTTTCCAGCCAGCCCTTGGCTCCGCTAGATGGAGAAAATCCAATTGAAGGCTGTCAGTCGTGGAAGTGAGAAGTGCTAAACGAGGGGTTTGCCCGCCAGGCCGAGGAGGACCATCTCAACCTGAGAGGGCCGGCAGCCCTGTTATTGTTTGGCTCCACATTTACATTTCTGCTTCTGGCAGCAGCATTTCCGGTTTCTTTTTGCCGGAGCAGCTCACTATTCACCCGATGAGAGGGGAGGAGAGAGAGAAAAAATGTCCTTTAGGCCGGTTCCTTTGACTTGCAGAGGGAGGCTGCTATTCTCCGCCCGCACTTTTTTTTTCTGGATTACTTGGTTATGGCCTTTGCAAAGGCAGGGGTATTTGTTTTGATGCAAACCTCAATCCCTCCCCTTCTTTGAATGGTGTGCCCCACCCCGCGGGTCGCCTGCAACCTAGGCGGACGCTACCATGGCGTGAGACAGGGAGGGAAAGAAGTGTGCAGAAGGCAAGCCCGGGGGTATTTTCAAGAATGAGTACATCTCATCTTTCCGGAGGAAAAAAGAAAAGAATGGGTACGTCTGATAATCAAATTTTGAAAGAGTGCAATAATGGATCGTTTGATAATTTGTCGGAAAAACAATCTACCTGTTATCTGGCTTTGGGCTAGGCCATTCCAGTTCCAGACGCAGGCCGAACGTCGTGAAGCGGAAGGGGCGGGCCCGCAGGCGTCCGTGTGGTCCTCCGTGCAGCCCTCCGGCCCGAGCCGGTTCTTCCCGGTAGGAGGCGGAACTCGAATTCATTTCTGCCGGTTACCCATCTCTTAGCTCGCTGTTGTTTCATTCCGCAGTTTCTCCCCATGCACCTGCCGCGTACCGAGCACTTTGTGCCGTACGTACGTCATCTTTTTCCTAAATCGAGGTGGCATTTACACACAGCGCAGTGCACAGACCAAGTGTACAGGAAGATGAGTTTTGGCCCTAACCACTGCGTGATGCCTACCAAGTCAGAGACCCATTTCATCGTCCCAGAAGCGTTTCATCGCCCCTCTTCCCAGTCGATTCCAGACCCCACCTTTATTTTGATCTCCATAACCATTTTGCCTGTTGGAGAACTTCATATAAAATGGAATCAGGCTGGGCGCGGTGGCTCACGCCTGCACTTTGGGAGGCTGAGGCAGGCGGATTACTTGAGGATAGGAGTTCCAGACCAGCCTGGCCAACATGGTGAAGCCCGTCCTCTACTAAAAATAAACAAAAATTAACTGGGCCGTGGTGGGCCCCTGTAATCCCAGCTATTCGGAGGCTGAGGCCGGAGAAATCGCTGGACCCCGGGGCAGAAGTTGCAGTAAGCCAAGATCGTCGCCACTGCACTCCGGCCTGGCGACAAGAATGAAATCTGTCCTCAAAAAAAAAAAAAAAAAAAAAATACATTATGTGCTCCTCTTTTGTCGGCTTCTGTCCTTCAATGTACTGTCTGACATTCGTTCATGTAGTTGTATATATCAGTATTTTGCTCCCTTTTCATTTAGTAATAGCCCCATCGATTTGTATTCCGTTCTTTGATGGCCTTTTGAGTTGTTTCCATTTGGGTTAATGAAAATTAAAGCCTGCTATAAAACTTCTTGTACAATTGTTTTTGTGATCATATTTTTCGTGTTTCTTGGAGAATAAACTTGGAAGGGGAAATGCGAGTTTTTGGAAATAAAAAAGTAGCAAGGTATGGGAAGTTATTATGGCTCTGTCGCCATAGACTTCCGGGAAATTGGGTATTGTCCAGTCTTCTAATGTGGGTATATCTCCTTGTGGTTGTAATTTACCAAGTTCTCTGTTCTACCTAAGGATGTTTCAGCATGTTTTTTCAATGTGCCTATTGGC